CATGGACTACTTGTTCATCTTTCTTATTTGTGCATTATATCAAATTTATAATTTTGCAAAAATTAAAATTGTATGTGACATCAAATTACCTGCTAATATATGCTCCATATGTACATTGATTTGTTTCAGGCTGTCGTCTGGGTGAGCAATGAATGTACTTCGTATTTTGACACCGTGTGTGTTACAACGCAGACGTATAAGGGGTATAGATAATACTGATAAAAGGGACTCCTGGTTCATGAGAAGACAGCTTGGAGATGCCTCTCACATGACACATAGAATGGGTGCTTCTGCATCATCAAGCATCACCAGCGTAGGTGGAGATTCTGTCCAAGCAGCCAGACTCTCGGCATCAAGTAGTCCGGAACAACATGGCATTGCAGTTAGGTACATTATCAATGTTTTATACATTTACAATATTTGTATGTCATAGGGTATGTTCCATTTGGCATTCACAGCGCTCACAAGCATCATTCATCCTTGTTTAACATTTGATGAACAACAAGAATGAAATTATGCTTGCGAGTATTACAAATAGACTCTATCCATGTTAGCCTTTAAATTTTCAAACAAGAGAAACATTTTAATCAATGTGACTATTTTTAAATATTTTAAACAAGAAATATAAAAAAATAGTGAATTTTAAAAGTATGCTGTGTTAATATTTTAGAATACATAAATAGGTAAATAATGATTGAAAAATGAGAGCCATAGATTTGATCGCACATCAAACTTTCTATAGTTGTTTATTCATGTATAGAGAAAAAAAGAAGAAGATGACAGGATTTGCGACACTACGCAAGAAATTTATTAGGAGACGTCGCTCTTCTAAAGCGTGTGATCATGGTAGAATTATTAGAGACCTGGTGTGCACATGGAGTCACTTAGAAGCAACTGCTTTACTTGAAGAGTATGAGGCGTTAGCTGCGTTGAAAGATCTTCATGTTCAAGCCGAATTAGCTAGACCGCCAGCTGCTACTTTTAAGCAAGATCTGTCGATGTTATACGATTACAAACACTGTTCCGATGTGGATCTTGTATATAGAGGAGCGTGTTTTCCCGTTCACAGAGCCGTGCTTTCCGCTAGATGCCTATATTTTAGGGATTTGCTGGCTGGTTGTCCTGGTATATTTAATAATAGTTTACATTTTCTTCATAAAGCAATAAAGTTTTTTATAAGTTTTTCCTTATAATATAAAAATTAATTATACAAAATACTGTTATTATATTTATATATATGTGTGTGTGTGTGTGTGTGTGTGTGTGTGTGTGTGTGTGTGTGTGTGTGTGTGTGTGTATGTATGTATGTATACAAAGATATATATCTTTTATTAAAATTTACAAAGATACATATCTTTTATTAAAATTTGCAGGATATGGTGCTAGAATCTGTTTGGAGCTAAGAACTCCACATCTTGAAGTACAGATGTTCTCAATGTTATTACGGTATCTTTACACTGGTGATATTTGTCCACATGACGCGACTTTGGAAGCAAACCTACTTCGACGACTCGGAGAAGAATTTGGAACTCCAAATCCACTGGAACATGATCTCAGATATTTGCTGGATACCGGTGATTATGCAGATGCCGCTCTTGTATTCACGTCGGACAGTGATTATCAAAGACCGGATAGTGGAAGTTCGGAGTACGGATTTCGCCCGAAATTAGAGCTGCCATGTCATAAAGCAATACTTTCCGCGAGATCTCCTTTCTTCAGAAATTTAATACAAAGACGGACTAGATCGGGCGAGGATCACACAGAAAGGGCGCTTCACATACCTACTAGAATAGTATTGGATGAAAGTGTGATACCTAAACGATATGCCAGAGTATTACTACATGCTGTGTATTTAGATACCGTTGACTTATCATTAATATTGAGAGGAAGCGGTTGTGGAAACAGCGCTGGTAGTTTGGGAGAAGTAAGAAAGTCTTAGCAAAAAAATATTTATACACTAATGTATATTAATTTTATGTCAATACTTTTATTTAATGAACTTACAGGTTCAAGCCCTAACACATACGGGCCGAATGCGACCAAGTCCATTAGAAGAAGCGATGGAATTGTATCAGATTGGACGATTTCTCGAACTTGATATATTATCGCAAGGTTGCGAAGATCTTATTTTGGAGTATCTCACCTTGGAATCGCTACCGACTGTTCTCAAGTAAATCTGATTATGATTACTAATAAATCTTTTACAAAAGTTAGAAATTAGATCATATTACTAAAAAAAATTATGTGCAGATGGGGTAGTCAACCTCATGGATCAGCATGGGTGCATAGACAAGCGTTGCATTACTTAAGGGAGGAATTTCAGCCAATTGCTTCGTCCTCGATTCTTCATCAGTTAGATCATGCCCACTTAGCGAATGTTTTACAGAGCCATTTTTTACAAGCGAGTGAACTTGAAGTACTGCAGGCAGTGCTCAAGTGGGGCGAACACGAATTAGTACGTCGTATGGAGGATCGGGAACCTAATTTGCTTAGCCATACTGTGCATTCTGTGACGAGAAAGGGTATTAAGAAAAGAGATCTTAGCGACATCGAATTACGGGAGATATTGAGCGAACTTCTGCCGCTTGTCAGAATAGATCATATATTGCCGCCGAATAGCGAAGCATTAGTACAGGTATATTTTCTACCAAACATTTTAAATTATTTAAAAGAAAATATATCTCTTGTTAATATATTTTTTATGTTGATAAATTTTTAGGCTATTAGGAGAGGATTAGTTTCAACTCCACCAAGCCATATGATAGGAGACGAAAGAGATAATTTGAGGGTGAATGCTTGGATAAGAGGCGGAAAGAAAAATGGATTTTTTGTAAGGCCAAGATTATTCATGCCGTATTATGAAGAGATCAAGGTAATAATAATAATAATAATAATAATAATAATAATAATAATAATACATAATTTTCAAAGCCAGAAACACATTGATCAATGAAATATACTAATGAGTACTATATTTATTCGATATTAGTCCTTGGTGGAAGAACAAATGATTCAAGAAGCAGATCTAGTGAGATTACGAAGGCCACGATACGTAGCAGATATACCGGATGCACTATACATGGTTGAGGAGAAACCAAGAGCCATGGGAACTGCTGGCGTTGATGTCCTTGCAGCTGCATTTCCAGGTATTATGACATTAAATTATTAGTTTTAACTTAAAACTTACATAAACTTAGTTTTTTATATATTAGTTATTGTTATTATATATGCAATTTGACATAAAAACACAGATTACTTTGTAATAAGAAAGTGAGAGTGCTTGAACAATATTTTTAATAATGATTGAGAAGTTGATAAGAGAAAATCACATATAGATAGGTTTAACTGATAATTGATACAGGATAAAATATTCTTTATCTGTATTATAGTACCAGACTCTGCAACAATGGCTGCAATGCTGAAACGAGAGCAGAAATTGAAACAATCGCCCAGTTGTCAACGAGCGATAAGTTTGCCGCTTTCTTCGCGACACGAAATTAATCGGCAAGTGCGACTGCGCGTTGTCAGGGAGTTTAATTTACCCGACACTGTGGCTGATCTTCTGGAAGTGAGTCTTTCTATGTTACTTCTATGTTAGTTTATAATAATTCATAGCAATAACAGTAATAGTAATAAAACATGTATAATAACATCGCATCCGCGTTGGGTAAATTGGGAGCAGGAAAAATCAATACGAAAACAAATGAATATACGAAAAGGTAAAAGATTTCGGAAACGATTAAATTATAATATATAGTGCGTTTTTTTTTATTAATTTCAAATTCTATGTGACAGGTTTTTTTTCTATAATTGAATTAATACACTTTTAAAACTTACAATGAAATAGATATATGTTCGATATTATTTACTGAGAGCGAAATAAAAAATTCAAATACAGTTTAGTGCGAGAATAAAAAACAGATCTATGATTGTCACGAATGAGTGCCATAAAATGTTAGAAACGTACACCAGCATAATATTCTAAATATCTTCAAGAATTTAAATACATTCGCGCATACGAAGTTAAAAATAAATATATTTATTTTACACATAATTATTTTGTGATTGAATAAATTGTAAATAAAGATAGATAATGATTGCTTTTGTACTGTTTATTCTAAATTTTGTTAATAGTAATGTATATTCTCATAAAATATTGCTTCATAATGTACAATATTTATACAAACGTTATTAATTTCTCCATTTTATTTCATGAATGTGATACATATGGAATTTATTAATATCAAGATTTTTAAACACGACAAATATATAATGTTTTCATTGATAATGTTTTTATTTTATAAAATTAAATTGAGGCTACAAGCCTTTCGTGCGTCATGCGTACTATTTACACTAAAAGGACTACTTGTTGATACATCTTTAAAAATATTTATAGATTTTAAAATGTCATAAATATTTAAAAATGTTCGCATTTTTAGCGTCGACAGATATATGCATTGTTTGTGTTAATATTTCTATCATCAAATTAGTCTTAGCAGTTGACTTAGTCAATTGTTCTTTATTAGCTTTGGTCTTTATTATATAATATTATCTAATATTACTTGATATATCATCTTATCACATCTAATATTGTCTGAAAACTTTTGTCATATATTTATATAAATTTTATTATCGCTTCTATTAGCTAACTGTCAATATTTTCTATATAGTATTATATAGAAATTCTATATAGTATATTTTCTGTATAGTAAGATGACTGACTTCTTAAGAAGAGGGACATTTAAAAAGATTCAATATTAATTGTTGTAATTTTAATGAACACTTTTAATAATTATTAATAAAACACATGAACAATATTATATTATTATATTTATAAATAACATTGTACAACAAACTGTATTACAAGATCGCAACAAAAATTAATCAAATTATGAGATTTTTTAAAAATTGTTCTTTGCTGCTGAATTTTATGAATAATATCTTTTTAAATAAAAATCATAAAATTCTTTACATAATACATACAGTTAAAAATTATGTTTCACATTTATTATTTTTACTTATTATTCTCAAAGAAAGACAATTCATAATTATGTTCTTAATTTGGGACAAAATTTGGGATGCGTTATAAAGTGAGATGGAGAGTTAAATTTTGAGATTGTGTCATCTAATTTTGGACGATTGTTCATCTTACTACACAGAATTATACAAATTATTTTTATATCAAGAAATAGAAAGACTTTCTAAAGGATTAATTTACTATGAATAGAAATTTACGTCATCATTTTACAAGCCATCCCTTTCGATCGAACATATATAAGACGTGCAACATTTTTTGTTTATAATTATCATCATCGATTCCACCTGTAAAAACGCATTCGTCTGCATCTTCGGCCGCCGTTTGTGAAACGGAGCCACGCGCTGCTTGTATTACTTGCACCATCATGATACACTGGTTAAATTTGATGGGTGCACATTGATTCAATTGCTCTATAAATTGACTCTTGGGAAATGCGTTTGTGTCTAAATTTAGCGATTTTAAACTCTCGATAAAAGAGTCGTAATAAAAATCAATCATATCGTCAAAATGATTGTCGAGTACCTCCTTCTGGGAACTTGATATGAGGAAAAATATGAGGTCGTTTACACCGTAGTCGTAGACTGTCAATTGGAAATCCACAATTTTCATATTGATCGGCTTATTTGACTCATCGTATTTGAACATCATGTTATTTACCCAAAAATCATTATGCACTAGTGTCGCCCACGGTTCTTCTGGCGTTACAGTTTGTGTAAATCCATATTCGATTGTTTTCTCGATTCTATCCAGATAAGCTTTTGCTTCTTCCATATTTTTATAATCATTATGCGCCTTCTGTACCATATCTACCGACGCTTTTTCCGTGGCTTCTTGTAAGTTGAATTCTAGACAAGATAATACCATTTTTTTGAAGAATTCGGGTTTCTTGAGCTTCAGACCGATTGCTATGGCGTGTAGCTTGGCTAAATGATTGATCGCAAAATTCATGTGCACTTTGTCTAGACCTACAATTCGGTCTTGCGTTATATAATTGTGTGTCTTTAGATTTTCTAAAACGATGGCGGCCTGTTCATCGAAACACTGCGGATCTCGTAAACCTAATCTACCGCCTAAAAATTGTGGTACGATGACGCTTAGGGATTCCCGAGGGATTCCGCTTTCATTTTGCAACTTCAAAAATTCTGGTGCTACCATGCTATAAAATTCCAATTCCTTCTTGAATGTTAATGGGCTATCAAACAACTCTAGCAAATACGCTGACCTTGGCGGTAGTTTGACAACCACATTTAGAGTTCTCTTCTTATCATTGTGCTCGGCGTTGATAGTGACAGCCAGTATTATACTACCAAAGTTTTCTCCCGGATCTGTTAAATGTTTCCATTCCACATCGTGTATTCGAAAATTAGAGCCATACGTTTGCATTAACAATGTGTCTATATTTTTAACAGGGAGCATGTCGAGCGTTTTCCTAATAGAAAAAGATTTCATATTAAAGAGAGTTATTATTTCAGAGAAAAAAAAATGTACTATGTAATTATAATTATATGTATTAAATGAAATTATTATAAAATTAAAATAATTCAATCAAGCAAATGTAAAAATCAAGTTGATATGAGTCGACAAGATATGTCTGTGTAAAATTATTTATTACAAAGTAGATTCTAATTTTGCGTTATCAGTATCTTATAGCTGAATAAATTGATAAAGTAAAGCATTACATTTAAATTGATAAAGTTATAATATAGTTCATAAAGTGTGTCCAAGAATAAAATTTTTAACTGTCTTAGTATCTGAGAAAATATTTAATTCATAAGTTAAGCAATAAAATTGAAATTGAATAATTAAAGGTGAGCTGTCGAATAATGCGCAACAGTATATACGAGCTTTCGATTACATTTGAGATTAAATCAGTTAACGTACATTGTACGTATTTGCTACGTGGAATTTCTTGGAAACTGAGGTTAAGTCTTCTTTTATGTAGATTGGACGTTGTTTAGTCACCAATATCATGTATCTCGAGGCTCTGTAAAATAAATTTCTTTTAAACTAAAATTAGAAATAATTAAGATATATAACACATATTATTTATTTTAATAAATTTTGAATTTTTTTATTAAAATTTTTTAATCTTTAATATTCTTTAATTATACACTACTTGGATTTAATTAAATGTTTTTACGTAATTAAAAGGTACAAAATATAAGTAAATTATAGCTACAAATTTCAGGATTGATAGAATTTATAGATAAAAAAAAGATATTAACATGTATCCGGAGAAATTGGATTTAATCGTTTTATTTAATAGTTTAATAGGCTTAATTAAATTTAATCTATCGCAAGTATATATATATATATAGTGTATATATATATATATATATATATATATGTAGAATTATCATCTCTTGTTAATTGTAGAACTGATATTTCCACACATCAATAGTTACTAGATAATTTTGGAAAAGCGGCACGTGTTTTGGATTATGGATTATTATGGATTATATTATTTCAATTTATTCAAAATGTAAACTGAAATAACAATAGTTATTCCAATCCGATTTCGATGTTGTGCGATAGACTTGTATCAAAAGAAATTCTCAATATATCAAATTTGATTTTGATCGTAATTTAATAACGATCATAAATAAATTCTCTTTTCAAGTTTCATGTTCGATATTTTATATAACTTTCTCTTTTTACATACTTCTTCTCATTTTTAATAAGAAAATCGCTGATTTATTGAAAAAACAATTTATTGAAAAACAAATTTCTCAAATAAATATTCAATTTCAAATAAATATAATAGTAATTTTGAGCATTTGTCGAAAAACATGATTCTATGGAAAATTATTAATTTTTTTTTTTTTAAATTGAGAAATCGAACATCCTTAGAATAATTATAGGTTTTTTAAATATATGTTTGATAACATTTTTTAATATATTTTTCCAAATTCTATTGATCCTAAAGTAATTGTATAATTTACTTACAGTTTTATAAAACTAGAAATGTTATTGTACACGCGTAGATATCTTCGTAGCACACTGAGAAAAAAATATAGTTAATTTAATAAATATTTAGTTCATTATCTGCCAACTAAACATTTACTTATAGTAAATATTTGTTCAATAAAACAAAAATGATTGTTAAATAAAATTAACATTTCTTGTATCAAATAAATATATTTTTATATTTAATAAATATTTAATTGGCAGTATTCAACTAAATATTTATTAAAATTGACTATATTTTTTTCAGTACTAATCTCATTTAGAAAAGGTTATCGTCACTTTATATTGTTACTTGACTTGTTTTACCTTCGATGTATATGTATTTGTAACTTCCTAACGTTCACTCGCGTGTATGTTCTAGCATTAACTGTCATTATGTTGTGAAGCGTCGCTACTTTATATCATAGTAAGGAGAGAACTTGTTGGTGGGCTCCTCGCTGATTATGATTCGTTCATGCATATCGTATTAGATAAACTAATCGTTTTCCTTATTTCATTCGTAACGTATAAGATGTATTTCAAAATATAATAACATCAGGGAAAACTCTAATCATACCAGTTTGTTTCTGTTACGGATAAATGACGTGGCGGTCAATGTATGTACAATCAGTGTGAGGCCAGAAAGCGGGACGCGAACATCGTTATTTTGCACTTACATGGATGCAAGTGAATCGACAGAAACTCAGTTGATTCTTTCTGGCTAGATCAATCGACTATCGTGGCCGAAGAGCATACAACCTATTTATAGTGCACTCGTGACACAAGAAACTTTGAGTGTTAAGATAAATGTTGCAGAAATGATGTCAGCGAGTTCATTTCTGATTAAATTATCCCTAAAGTGCATAAACTTTTTTAGAAATAGCAATTGCAACTTTGTTAATGTCACGCTGCCAGCTCATACCGCTGCAATTCGCTTATGGTTCGCGCTATTTATCGCATAGATAACGCTCGGCTTTTACGTTTTGCTCTTTTTGTTTTACTCTGTTTAGCGTGAAAAGACAATGGTTATCTATTACTTTTATGGCTCATGTCGTATTGAGACATTCAATTAACTCGATATAATTGTTCGACTTCGTGACTGCGACGACACTGTTACGAACATGAGCCAACATTACGTGACGTTTTATTTCTGGTAATAGCACAAATTTATTTTCGGAAAGTGTTACGAATAAAGATCTCTATTTATCTCAACTGCATGTATTCGTGTGGTCAGTATAAAAAAATGTTATAATATTATATTTTTTTATTCTAAATTTTTTCCTAAAGTATTGCAATATGTGTGTGTGTGTGTGTGTGTGTGTGTGTGTGTGAAAATATTACCTAAGTAGGAGAAAAAAAGAATAATTAATAAAAGTAAACGCACGTGCTCAATATGTATGTATTGTCGTGCTTATTATACATATTATTCATATCAGATGCATTACTCAATTTTTTATTTTATATCTCTTGCAGAATATATTGATATTTGATCAATATCGAAAGTATCTAATATTGAAAATTTGAGCGTCAAAGATCACTCGGGATATCCATGACCTATATTCCTATATTTGTGAAGTTCTATCAATTCAATGTATGTTCAGAAAATCGCCACGCCAGTGGAATGGTTTTTTTCGTTTTATTATTCGTATCAAAGCAAATAATAAATTGAGAATTTGTATTATAAAAAAAAATATCATAGACGATATAGATAAAAATTTTGTTTTTTAAATAGATCGCTTTAAAAATAAATTACTGGAAGGCAATTACTGAATCGCAATCTACGAATTGAATGAGATGGATAAAAAAATGGGAAAAACTTGAGAATATGTATTTCTTTTTTCTGTGTATTATTATGTCATAATCGGTCAACAGTCATAATTGTGTATCATTTTCGCGATGATTATTTCTAGCTATTAGACTTGATTATGTTTCCACGCATATGCAAATGCATCCTTAATGCGGAAGCTATTATGTTGTTAGATTATCTTCTCATTCTAAGTTCTCATCCCACGAAAGCTGCATTGACGAACGTTTGCTCTTGAATGCATAATGTTATTTAATTTTACGTACGCGGGTTGCTTCAGATTTCTCATGCTATCTTTCATCTTCGACTTCTTCGGCTAATTCAAAGTTTGTAGCGAAAATTTCGCTGCACACGATTTCCTTCGACACGATTTCCTTCTTTGTTTCAACTTTTAGTACGAAGTATCTTTATAACTCAAGTAGCTCAAAATAAAATTTCTAAAATAATTTTAATAAAGCAGAATGATAGAACAGCATGATAGAGAACAACATGATGTTGTCTCCAAATATTATTCTCAACTTCTAAATATAAATCTGATGTCTATCTATATATTTTCCAGGAATAACTGGCAATTTAATTTATTTTTCAAATAATAAGCAATTTCCTTGAAGACAATTAATATAATAGCTTGAACTATGCTTCAGATCTACTATCGAATAGAAACATAAAAGAAGGAAAATACATCGATATTTCTTCGCGATCACTTACCCTTCTGTTATTAACCGACTTGATCGTTGCATCACTATTATACGTGCATAAATAATACGAGATTAAGATGACAATCGTGGTCATAACAATAAGCAAGTGTCGCGAATTAATTTAAATTGCAAGAAGGACGTGTATGCCAGGCACGAGTTCAGCAGCTACGTACCAGCGCAGTTTATTAAGCTGAAAACTCGGAAGTACGTTCAGTGTCATTGATACCGTCAATGATATGTTGATTTTCTTTGTAAAGCTTGACATTGTATTGTAATTTCACGGGAAGAATTAATGCATCAACTTGAGTTCACAATAGTTTTAAGAATTTCGAGCTATTAAGTGACTTATTAGGAACTCCTACGCGACTATACGTAACGCATATTAAACCGTTTATGTACTCAGAATATTTAATCAACATTAAGTCTCTCCTCAGCACAGAAGATATTTCTTCTGTTCAATGTAAGAGCTCGTCGTGCAAAACAATAAATCCAAAATGGGAAGTTTGTCATGATTATTTTTTGCTTAAAAGCTACCGAAGCAGCGTAATTATGATCGGAAATAATGATTAATTTTTAAGCCAGGCACGTTCGTAGACAAGGTTTGAGAAACGTGTTTTATATTAAAATCACATCTCCATTCACTATTCATACACAGTTAATTCTTATCATTCGAACATAGTCCTTGATTTTTGAGTCTGTACGATATCAATATCATATTACATATCAACTTTGATATATAATCTCATTTTGACCTTGTATTAACGAGGCGAAGTAAAAATAAAAAATTGCAGACAAACTAACATAAATCTATTATTCAAAGTAAATGAGAGAAATATTGAAATTTTTGCCTATTGCATGTAACTGTTGTTTTAGACACCAGCGTTTACTTTGAATGTACGTATTTAAATCTTTTGTCGTATCACGAAATTGCTGAAAAACACGCGCTAAGATTCTCTCACGTTCAATCAGAATGACTAAGAGTCTTTGAACGGATTGACATATTAATACTACAATTATAATCCTTATACTGTTAAATTCATAATATCAAATTATACCCAATTTAAGTTGTTTTTAATTATTTCTATAAGTTACTGATTTTATACTCAATATATCATTAATTTAATTAAAACAATGAAATTAAATAATTTAACTCAAGAAAACGTATTAAATTTAACTCGAATGTATTTTATTATTTATTGAATGCATACGTTCATATGAATATTGTTTACTTTGAAACTAACTCCTAGAAATGAACTAATTCACATTTTGGCACATGGAGATTAAAAATAATAAAATATTTAAGAATGTAAATTCGATGCTTTTAGGATGAGCATTATGGGCTAATTGTGCATTTACTTAAAGTCTTAACGGAATAGACGTAGAAAAAAGTTTTATTATATAATCATCACTTGTGTTCGATCTATCGGTTATATTTTACATACGTTTACTATTAATGAGTACGTCATTTACCTTAACACTGATAATGCGATACGCGAGCGGGGCGCACTTATCAAGAATGCGATGTCATTGGCGTGATATAGATGGAATGGTAACACGTGCGTAATTGGAAACGATTAAACAACATTAAACTCTCTCTCTTTCTCTCTCTTTTTTTTTGCAAAGTCTTATGCACTGCGCGCGTAGATTTAGCACAGCATTTGAACACAACGCAATTCGCGCGACTAACGTTGCGAGTAGACTCTCGTCACTGTTTGACTTTGCTCTCTTATTCTCCCCCTTTTTCTGCACTAGTGTTCGCATTATCTACGTCTTTTAACGCAACGTCGAATTATACGTCCGCGCAATAGAGACGTGATAGAATTAGCTCTGAGATGATACGAGATGTGAAATGATGCGCATTTTGTCTCAATGCAATGAGATGCAAACGAGTCCTCGAGAGATATCCTTCCTCTCTTCGTGAAACTGCGAATCTTTTCGAACAGCTACGACATCGAGATTTTTCAATGTCAACGATATGTCTATTTCATATTTACAATACTCTACAAAAAATAATTAGATTAATATGAATTTATGTTGTGAAATATTTTTTCAGTATAAAGGATTAGTCTTCAAATATAATATTTAAGCCTTTTTTTCTGTACCTTTTTATTTTTTTAATTATTGGCACAAATAAAAATTTGCTATTTTTACAAAATAAAAATTGATTACTTCATGGGAAGAATTTTTGTCAATTTTTCCTATTTTTTTTATTGCTGTTTCTATATTTTTCTAAAATGATTCCAAGACGATGAAATAATATATTTCTTAATGTCTCAACAAATAGTAGTTATATAATTCGCGAAAAATTCGAAATTATATTTATATAATTTCGAAATATTCGGTTTATATTTATGTTGCTCTATTGTTCATATTTACGCAATGAGAACGATAGCAGTGTAACTGACTTTCGATATCAGACAAATTAGCAAAAACCACGAGCAATACTCTTGAACGATGAGACGTGCAAGTCAATACGTATACAGATAAAAAAATGTAAATACAGAGAACGAATATACTGCAGTGTGTTTTATTTTAATATTTTTTATTTACCCATATTGTTTAATTTTTTCTATTCGTAAAATGTTACGCCGACATGCTTTCGTGATATAGTTTACTGCAATAACAATGCAAACATAATCTTTATCCAGTATGTAATTTTTAATTAGCAGAATTTTTTTCACAGCGAGATATGTATTACAAATATGTCACATTTTAATTCAGTAAAATCTCGCTGCTTTTCTCTCTGAGTTTTTATTGACTACACAAACGACACGTACGGTGATATCCTGAAGAGAGACTGTTCACAAAAAATAATTTATCTTTATGTCCCGGTTTAAATGCGGTTTGTACAGTGATAGATATATACGTGATGTCGCACTGGGGTGACAAGCGGATGAATCATGAAACGACACTTACGACTACTACCAATCGGAACGCATGCAATCTCTACATAGCTGATATGCAGTATTATGCATGAATAAATGCAGAAATGTATTATCAAATACATGCGACATGTTGCATCACGGCTTCGGTGTTATGGTAAAATAATGCGAATCAAACGCGAATTACAAGTCTGAATATTCGAAATTATTTCCATTTATCTCTAAACAATAGAAGTTACATAATATTGTTAAATCTAATTGATCTAATCTGAAAATATAAGGCATAAAAGTTGTTTTACTCGTTGCTTTTGCTCGTTATAATAACACTTTTATCTGCGATAAAATATTTTATTTAATAATTTTACTTATTTTTTTGCCTGCATGAATACAAATTCATTCTTTAAATTTAATTCTCACGTCACAATTTTGAAAAAAATGACATTAAAGAGCAGAAAAAAAA